GGGAGGGACGAACGGGCCGGCCGGGTCCCAGGGCAAGGCTGCCTCGAACGGGCAGCGGCACGTCCTACAAAACGGCCTTTTCGCGTTCTCTTTGCTGCCGTGCGTAATCTCAACGGCTGAAAAACCGGCTCCGTTCGCCCATCCGCCAGCGCCGCTGGCGCGCGTCAGCCTTGCGACGGGGGTAGGAACGAGCCCCGTATACGAGAGTCACCCGTGGGTCGTCAACAGCAGGGCTGATCCGCACCGCGAAACAGGCTTCGTGTGCTTGCCCGTTTGGACAACACCGCTGCAGGAACCGCGCCCGGCCCGCGGTACTTCATCGGTCGGTGCCTACCGAACCTCCCAAGCAAACTCGCTTTGGAGGAGGATGCTCTTTTCGTCACTGCCAGGACAGACCAAGCTCTCACCACTGAGCTGGTAAACCTGCTTATAGCAAAACTAACCTGCTTGCTTAAGTCATTAGATATCAAAAAAAAAAAATGACGTGACACAATTCATAATAAAGTGCAAAATGGACTTAATATAAGGAACTCAAGACTCTTACCTCGGTATTATTGCACATAATCATACTGGGAGCCCAAATACGGCAGTTAAGTAGTTTACAAGACTAGGAATGGACGAGGAAGTACTAATCAGGTGCTGCACCAGGTGCATATTAAATGAGCGATCTTAGTATGGCAGGAAGAAATAAAAGAATATCCTAGCTCTGTGTGGGTCCTGCAGAGAATGACACTGCTGCGGCATTTCACAATAACTAGAATCTTTTCCACAATGCAAATTAATTCAACATTTTACAAAATAAATGTTCTTAATGTCTTCCTTATTTAGGATATCAGTGACGTTGGGCATAAGTACCATCTGGAATTGGTGTTAGAAGACGTCCTTGACAAAGTGAGTTCAGATTTGTTTCATTAATACATTCTGTGGGCAGAAGCTGGCACTACTGATGTGTAATAAAAAGCCAACACTTCATGTTGCTGATCCTAACTGAGGCCAATGGACACACCAGTTAATAATATGTGGTATCGTGTTTCAGATTTTTCTATACTGCAAATCAGGCCAAAAAAAAAGGGCTCAATTTTACCCATTTCTTGCACCTGAAAGTCCCAAACATTTAGTACCTAACCACTATGAGACAAGAAAATGCTTGAGGGATGACAAGGACATTTCAGTGTCATTCAGTTTCAAATCAAAGTTATTTGAACCCATTACTCCAACTGAATAGCACAAGTGACATTCTGCAACACAAACATTGCCCTTTCTATCACTGCAGAAAGAAAGCTGCCCTTACAGTATATTCACAGAAATACTATGAATTTAACCTTGTCTTAAATAATCACAAGTCTCTATGGGCCAGACTCAGAAAATGGCAACTACATAAAGAAAGCAAATACATTTTAGAAGTGCAAATTACCAATACTATACACGTATTTAATCAAATATTAATACACATCATTAACTCTGTAACAGGACAGTACTGTTAACTGCACTGCTGAGGTTCTTTATCATCTGGCCAACAAAAACATTGCTCCAGATGTGCAATTCACGATTGAAGGAGAACTTAAGAACACAGACGAAGCGGATAACATGTTCTACAATCGAATCAGGAGCCTGGAAAAAGAGCTTGTGGCAGAAAATATACCAGGTACAAAGAAGGGGTCTGGGCGAGAAGGAAGTTTTTGAGACAATGTCCTCCATGGCCAGAAGCAAACCTGAGCTCAACTGGTGGTGGTCCACGATCCATATGGGAGCCCCTTCCATACAAGCCAGGGCCGAGGGGACCAGGCCGTCAGCCCTACTCTGAACACGTGCTGCTTCACTTTCTCTTATTCAGGGTGGCGTGTCAATAGCAACACAACTAAATTTATTCACCACTTCTGAAATCCAGAACGGATACAGGATTTGCATGTGACTGTTCCTGAAAACCCCTGCTACTGTTACCTCCCCCTTTACCAGCGTCCTGCTCGCCGTTTGTGGCTGTTGTTGGTATAGTACATCACACACCCTGACTGCAGTACTAGGGTCTGCTCTTACTTTAGAGCCACCCCTGCCTTGAAGACCTTATAGAATATATATTAAGAGAAAGAAGTAGGAGGAAGACAAGACACTGTGGTGATGTAGCTGCTATTCCAAGATTATATGGAAGGTCGCTGACACAGCAAGGAACATAAGCGGGTGACTTTAGCACCAAACCCTACTATTAGGTGATAAGGTTCTGTTAATGGCTGCAACGCCATGAATCTTGCTTAATGTGTATTATGTATTTTGTTTGCCAGACAGCCATGGCAACGTGTCCCCAGAAATGGAGCCCATCCACCTGCTAGCGTGGGTTGCCTCTGGCTATGTGATATGGCAGAACTCAACTGAAAACACTAAGTTCCAACTTGCCCAAATTAAACATGTGAAGCAAGTGGTAAGTTACCATCAATGCCCTGCAATAAAAACAGTATTTAGGAGCTAAGCAGCTGTGTGTGTACTGGACTACAGCTGAAGTTAAGTTCTTAAGCAAGAAACCTCAATTGTGTCTGAACTTCTTGGTCAGTTCATTTTTAAGCCAGTGTTTGCTTTTTGTTCCACCTGCCCCTTTAGCAAATCATGAAGGCTTTCACTGATGGCTTGAGTGTTTATTTTAGATCACTACTCCTCTTCATAAATTTTGCTTATAGAAACTGTGTCTTCTTGGCAAGAACAGTATTCTACGCTTATTTAGTTACGAAAATTGACTCTTCCACTTGGAGGTCATCACGTTGATTACAGTTTTATATTACTTTCCTGCCTTTCATCTGTAGTGTAAGCCCAGCTGACAGTATTCTTGCATCTGCGTAACATGCATTGGAATATTGTCCTTTATCTCTTGATCTACACCGTGATCTAGCAATCAGTCACAGTAATGCTGCTTGACATCTCTGCGATAGCCATGTCTAGACAAATAGCAATGGGCTGCACCTCAAATTCAATAAAACACAATCTACATAGCTTTTGTTTCCAGTACTGCAGCCTCTATCCATTTGTTAGTTCACCTCAAAATGCTAATCAAGAACGAAAATACTGATTTAATTCCACTCTCAATATTAGCTTTTTTACTTTGTTCTTCCCAAACTTACTTTTACTAATTTTTTTTTTGAGGGGAGTGGGGGAAGAACCTAAAATTAATTTTTAGTTGAGACATTCATATTGCAGAAGTGCTCTCTAAATTTTTTTTAAGTGACCCAGTTAACAGTAACACACACTTCAGGGATAGCTTTCTACCTGATCTGAAAAATTCAGTCAATTGGAGCCATGCTCTTATATTATATATTATATATTTACTTATATTAGCATGATAAGCATCAATTAAGTTTATGATAAGAAAACTGAATTCAGGAGGACATGTCACAAGGCAGAAAGGGAACAGACTACTCCAGGACAAAATATTTTCTATTTTCAATTATTTCTGAGCGGTTACAAGTGATGTTTATCTTGAGCAGATCTGGATCTGCCCTAAGCTAAGAAATAAATAGGACTGGCAAATCTCACTATAGCTATTCAAATTAATTGAGTCATTAGCTGCCATTATCAACAAGTCTTGCAGACTTCTTACCTGGAACAGGCTTAACTGATAAAACAACTTGCTTTCAGAAAAGTTATTATCAGAGCAAAGGTTTTCGTTTTGTTTTTAAATTAACAGAATTCAATAGATTCTCCCAGTTCTTCTCTGTTCTATTTGGAGAAAATAACTGTGAGTTAAGAATAACTCCTAAAAGGATGGTCAACTTTAAATTCAAGGAAATTTAGTACGTAAGCTAGAATAAAGAAGCAGGATTTCATATTTAGAAAACCCAATATATCAGGAGTCTTCAGAACAGACTTTCAGAGCCCGAATGTTTGGCCGCTCAGAACAGCCGGTGAATTCCCATGAAGTTCTGGGTGTGAAAGAAAGGCAGAAACTCATTTTGGGAGCACGATTTGTTAACGTTTTGCTCCCTCTGATGGCTATATGAAAGCAGTTCACAAATGCTGCAGGGCTGTGCACAAGCAAGATTTTAAAACTCTCTTCAACAAACCAGATGAATTTAAGAATAAGGCAGACAGAAGAATATTAAACTAAACCAGCTGTCGTCTCTCTTCAGTAATTTTGTTCCCTTTCTTTTCCCTGAAGAATAGGTAAGTAAAGAATATGCTCTAAAGGCCAGTGGGCATTCTGTTGCTCACACAATCACTGGTAACTTGTTATCCGCTATAAGGCCTCTGGAGTGCGTTCCAAGTCTTACCCTATTGACAATTTTATTTAGGATTATTTGGGTTAAATTGACACCTTGTAGAATCAGCCGTTCCCTTCCCAAATGAGGTCCTGAAGTTGAGATATATCTAGCTTCTTTAAGGGGGGAATTAGCACACTTTTAAGTTTCATATTCAGTCTCTTAAATGCAATTTTGGAGTTCACAGAAATACAAAACAGTATCTTTTTGTTTTGTTATAGCGACTAAGATCCATCTGCTTTATTTGTTAACACGAGCTGCCAGTTTAATCTGAAATGTATCAGAGAATTGTTATGATAACCAAAGAGAACTGATTCACTTCTTTTAAGGTGAGGGGAAGCCCCAAATTCAGCCCTTTTCATCTTGTCTTTCCAGAAAAGAAGTGATGAGTATCTTGAATTTGACTACATGATTCTACTTCACGAAATGGTGTCCCAGGTAAAGTCTTATTTCTAAAAAGCCTTTTTTTGTTTTAAGACTGCCAACTGTGTAACCTCCAACTCAGACATGCAGATGGTGGGGCGTTCACAGATCTGATGCCTGCAGGCCAGTTAGCAAACAGGGTGAGGTTAGGGCAATGATCACCCATCTGTCTCAGCATTACCGGCTTCTGCCCCTATGCAGGCAGGAGACAACAGGTCTCTAACTTGTGTCAGGAGACAGTAATTTTCAGCTATATCTAGGCCCTTCTTGGGAATGGCAGAGGTTCAATATACTGGTCATTCACAGCTCTCTCCTCTTGGGAGATACTATTGCCAAGCTGGCCAGGGATAAAGGGAAGAAGCAGCTGCCAGCATCCTGGACTGCTTAACCGCATTCCATCTGGAGCTGCAGAGTGCTTCTATGCTAGAGGACAGCAGTGGTGGACCAGTACACAGAGGCATCATCTACCCAGTCGCTCACAAAAGAAAGCAGCAGAAACTTTGGTTCCCAGAACAGTGTTTACATTGTGTGCTATTCTCCATCATAATTTTGCGATCTGAGCAAGTGTTTTCCTAAGAAAAACGCAGAAAATTTGAAAGAGTTCTTGATTGTGCAACCTCCTGTAATAAATCATCCACTGATAACAATCGGAGATCTCACTCCCACTTCTAGCTCCACTGCTTCCCACCCCACTGCACTCTCAGTTAAGTTGGGGCATCTATAGTGGTTTTAGTTCCTAAGTTTTCTATGAAGAAAAATTAATGAAAAGTAGTAGCTAACTAATTGCAGGACAAAAGCATAGGTTCTTCATTGTACTCTGGTGAAGGGCAGGTGTCCCAAAGTATCAATAGCACTAACAGTAAGAGGAGTAATCAAACATAGACATGCTTGAGCTGCAAAACTTGCCTAGCTGAAAGAAAAATGTAGTTGGAGCAGCATGGAGCACAACGCAGGCTGCAAAAAGCTCGCAGGAGAACTTCAGATATTTGGATATTTGGCTCAGCAGGACTGCGTGTTATAGTGCTTACCCTGCACTGTTACCAGTGCTTCATCAACCTACTTATAATCAGCCCAGGTATGGCTGTGTTATAGCAGTCAATTCCCGTTCAGTATTGTTCAAAGAAAATACCTTCTCACTTTCTACAGTTTTATTCTCTACCCACAGGAGATCATTCCCTGGCAAATGACAGTTCTCTGGCACCCGCAGCATGGTGTTCAAGTAACACAGGACAGCCGTCAGCCAAAACATGCATCAGAATAACAGACCAGCTGATACTGCAATGGAAGAAGCTCAAAGGCTACAATAAGCATTTGAAGGGAGGGCAGATAAGTTGATGAGGGTGGATATGCAATCAAGGTAGAAGAAAAAATGTCCTTCCTCAATTAAACTTTTCCTGTACTTTGTGCTTTGATCTGATAATCCAAAAGGCACTTTGTCTGCTAAGTAATCAAATTCTGCATCAAAATAAATTTAAAAAAACTCTGTTGCCAGAACGAATACTTACGGCACAGGTGCGGAGATGTTCTCCCTAAAGGCAACTTTTGGCTTTCCCATGGTGCAAGGGCAACCATATTCCCTTTCCATTCGCTGCGGGAAAAAAAAAAAGGAATGAATTACAGAGTTGTTCCATTGGAACAATATATTGGAAATTATTTTATTTACAGATCTTTCTGAAATGAGAAACTTAATCAGGGTTAACCACTTCTTTGGTTTGGGGTTGGATCGATTTTTGGGGTCTTGGTGCGGGGATTTTTTGTTGGTTTTTTTAAATGTTATAAATTATTCACTGTCATTCTGTAGTCAACCTTGTTCAGGGCCTATAGCTTTAGATACAGGAAAAGGGAACAGCATTAATTATTTTACTCAAGTTTAAGTTTTTCAAGACAAAAGCCATCTTTTCTTCATTCTGTCAACATTTCAGATACATCTATTGTGTTAGACTAAAATAAAGAATAGACATCGACTTGAAATAAACAAATAAATCACTGTAAGTAACTACTCCCTCCTGCCTGCATCATCTCTCATTATGGAACGATACATCTAAAACCACAGAAACAGAGTATTTCTCTCTCCTGTAGGAAATGGCTAATGGTAAAATTCATTATAAGCAAAGGCTGCTAAAGCAAAGCATAGTGCTTAATATAACATTTTTTATGGATTTGAACCAAAAAGTAAAAATATTCCAGGCAGAAGTTTCATTTAAATAGATTACAAGCCTTCAAAATAGAACCACTGGAGAGAAAGAATCTTCAGAAGTTGACTAAGAAGTTGAGCTCTTCCCTAAGCAGCTAGCATTCTTCACATTAATGCCACGATGCTTTCTGCTAGGAAGATCTCAAAATAGTTGTCACACAATAACCCTGATTTACACTAAAGCAAGTGGAGTTGTACACCTCCAAATATCTTGCAAACTTGATGTGCGCTTAGGCACCCAATTGCAAAATCGGGTGTAAAGGCTGGCATCAGTTAGCCCATCTGCAGATGGATTTTGGTCTCAGCCAGAAAGGAAGCAGAATTCTTGGCTGGGAAAACAGTCAAAAGCAGAGTCCATGGAATCTGCTTTCCAAATTACCTGGGCATAGATTTCCAAGTGCAGTTCCCCCATTCCAGAAACAATGGTCTCTTTGCTCTCATCATCAAAGTGGATTCTAAAAGTGGGATCTTCCCTTGTAAAGCGGTTCA